GTTTACTGTTCCGCAAGAAATTCCTCTCATGTATCCTTCTGCGAAGTGTCCAACCAGAAATATGCCGAAGATGGACGGTATTTGTTGGGTGCTCGAATTGGGGGCGGTTCCTACAAATTTTTTCTTTGGGCATTAGATGCGTTGGATTTTGTGCCTGGTCTGTGGGAGGCGTACAATTGGGCCCTGCAGATGGAGTGGCGGCTCACGGTGCACTGCGTAAAGGGTCTGGGGACGGGTGCTATTTTACTATATAGGGAGGCTGCCCAACCTGTTTGGCGCATCATGAATTATGCGGCGCGTTCCTTCGCCACCCTTGTGGGTGACCTGGCTCCATTGCTCTCGGATTTGCTCCATCTCTCGGATTTCAAGAGTTTCCTTCGAAAAAGTGTGCTATTTTTATGGCATTTGGAACTTCATTTGCTCGCTGCGGAGTCAAAGTTGATTTGGCAGCTGCTTTGTTACTTTGTTACGTGTATGAATATGCCCTTGGGACTTGGGTTCAATATGGCCCGTGATGCACTTGGCTGGGTGCGGTACGCGTTGGGGCTTTACACCACCACGACGCTCTCTGCTCATGTCTTTGTTGCAGTGATCCAGACAGCCTTCATTTTGATTGCCTTACGTAATGAACTACGCAACATCGCCACACGTGAACGTGAGAAATATCCTTCCTTTGTGCGGCGGTATACCGGTGGGGGTTTTGTGATTATGTTGCTGGCCTTTACAAGAGTGCATTCGATGCTCACAATTCGATACGTTGGGGCACACTTCATGGTGCTGCTCATGCTCATTGGACTCTCCACGCTTCCTTTCTTTGTCAAGCCGTACAATCTGGCCCTGTGTGTGGGCTTTCCATGTGTTTCCTCGTACACGTGCCTGGCGTTTTTTAGAAAAAATCCGGAGCGGAAGCATGTGATTTGTCTATCGGTAGTCAAGGGACTGTTTGTCATTGTGATTGATCGTACAATAGGCAAATTTGTCGCGCAAATCCTGCGGGAGATGTTTTTTTTTTCCATTGGTGCGTTACTCCTCCTTGGCTTTTTTTCAGCATGGCAAAGGGGGATTCACATTCGCCTCGCAAAATTGTGCCGGCGTTTGCGGTCTGACGGGACGAGACGTGAGGGGCGCCTCTGAGATCTCGGACGCCCCGCAGCGGGCCGGTGGGATGCGTGGATTGCTGGGAACAGAGAAGCCTCGTACAGCCAAAACAATCGGATTTTTGGCGGGTCCTCTTTCGGTGTATTTTAATCAAAAAAAAAAAAAGAGGAGTCGGTCGAAGAGCGTGGAGGAATGACTTAATTAACGGCGAGACAAACAAATGGACGGAGAGGACTGGGCTGTGGAGGGGGAAGCTTCGGTCAAGTGCTTTGTTTTTTTGCTACGCGAGGGGCGGGGGTTGGAAGGCTCCCTTTTCCTGCCTCTTTTTATGTTGTTGTTATTGTTGTTTGCATTTTTTTCTCTTTTGGTCTGCGGTGTCTTCCGTGTCGTTGCCACACAAACGCACACACGATCGTCGATTCGCAAATTTTATTTTATTTTTTGCCTTTTTTTGTTTGTGTGTGCGAACCTCCTGCGCATTTGACACCGCCTGGTGGGGTCTTCTGCTTCCTCGCTTTGGTTCCCGGCGGGACGAGGGCCAACTGCATAAAAAAAAAAAAACGGAGGCAAAAGGGGTGTTGGAGAGGAGGAGGGAAAATCAAGCAAAAAAGAAAAAGAATGAGGTCGACTGCATCGGAGTTTCCACCCACGCTCGTCGCTGCCGTGCGATCCGGGTTTGATGCGTTCGTCCAGCTCCAGCGTGTCCGCCTTGGCAAGTGCACGGATGAACTTCCCAGGTCGCTCGCGGAGGGATTTGGGTCGTGTGAGCCTGTTGCCACCCCCGCACCCATCACTAACACTGCTGCTACTGCTGCTGTATGCACCGTCAATGGTAGTCATAATCATCATAATGATAAGAGCACGACGGCATTCCCGCAAACGTTATGTGGGTGGTCGGATTTGCTTCTTTCGCGACTGAAGGCGATTAACGATGTGTCAGTGGTGGACCCGACAGCAGAGGTGGTGTGGGAGCTGGTCTCTGTCGTCATTGCTATCCTGGAGAATGGCGGTGATGACGGAGTCATTGCGAGTGGACCGTATTTGGAGTGGTATCGCAGCCGTTTTGTGAGCATGGACGCCATTTATGGGCTGCGAAGCACGCTGAATGCGGTGCCTCCCCGAGCAACTCTTTCGTCCGCGGCAGAAGAAGATCTTTTCGAGGGGCTTCTAGGGCCCTACATGATATCCATCCAGCGGGCCTTTCTTGCCGGCCTATTTCCTGTTGCGGCGGAACTTATCAGCTCTCTCGTGGACTACCTGCGTTCTTGTGAGATAGACCCTTTTGACGCGGAGGACGAGAGCGCATTGGCCGACGTGATTCGTCTCTTCCTGGAGACGCCAAGAAACAGCACAGAACACAGAGAATGGACGAGTACAGCAAACCTTCTTATCGTCGATTGTAAACGCGTCTTTACAAGAGCAGGTGATGAATCTAATTTGATTGTCCAGGCGGCACAACAACTAAAGTCTTTGTGTTTGGACCTTCTTTTAATGGTGAGTGGTGACGCGGCACTGATTTTGGACACATGCCATTTGCTAGAGCTAGATGTCATGGATTACGTCGCTGCGGTATGCGCCGTCTGCAAGCCGTATATAGCTCTTCGCCAGTTGCACCACCTATATCAAAGTGCATTGGACACGTGGGGAGGCTCTGTGAAAGGGCCATGGTACGTTGGTGTCGTTGAGCGGCTATTGGCTAGCCGGTGTATGGCAGATGTGGTTTGCGCCATGGAGCTTGTTGGGCGAGCCGTGCGTTGCAAAGAGTACTTGCCAAAACCGCCGAGCGAAGACAGTAACGTTGTTTCCTCTCCACCGGCTAACAGTGTGGAAGAGGAGGACGATGTTTCAGGTGTAGAGATTACGAGCGAAGCACCTGCTGACCCAAAACTACTCCGACGCTTTGCCCTGCTCTTTATGGCTGCTCATTTGGCCGACATTTGTGCACCCCCACTTGGCGCGCCTGTGGAGCAAATAGAAGTTACTTTTGTCCGGAATGAACTTGTGGAGGACTTTGTTGCCTTATTTCGGCACCATCCACTGCTCTGGCGCACGGCAGCCATGTACGTGGTGTACTCGCCTCTTATGAATCCCGCCATTTTGTACCGCATCGTGACAGAGCGGGCTGGAAATGCAGTGAGTGATCGCTACACTTTTTTGGCGTGCCACACTTTTATCTGCTCCTCTTGGGAGGAGACGAGCGCCTTTCAGGTGGCACTACGCCGTCTGCTGCGCGAGAAGTACCCTTTGAGCGAGACATTAGATAAGTGGATTGCATCAGTTGACTACTATAGACGCAAAGCGATCGAGGTACTACATGAGAAAATCATCAATGAACGATGGGCCTGTGGTGAAACGGCCCCTGCTGTTTGGTTGGCCGTCGAGTGCCAGCAATCCAAGTCACTGCAGATACGTTTTGAAAGGATCCTGCGGTCACCGGGGGCCCTAGAGAGTGTGGAGGTCTATGTTGTGGGTCAGGCAGTAAATAACAACTTTATTTCGGTTGACACGAGCTCCAACCTTCGAATGCTAAATGTTCTGCGTGTTTGTGCTGCCGTGTCCGAGTACCGAAGGGCTATCGGTAGCTTGCAGGGGCTTGACGGGCAAAAAGACCCGGTGCGCAGCCCCGACACCATTCACTGGGTGCTGCGCGCTGCGGAGAAGGCTCTTTGTTGCACTGCGTCGTTCAGGATGCATCCGAGCACAGTGTTGGCCCTCGTGGAGCAGACGGTAGATGTTGCGCTCCGTCTTCCAGAAGAGCAGCGTCCGAGAAAGTTCATTCCTCTTCTCTCTCACGCGCTGGAGCTAGTGTTGGCGTATCACTCCGAAAAGCGTTCCCAACACGCAGCACATGCGTCTGCCATTCGGGAAAAGATCATGAGGCTGTTGTAGGATGACGGTCGAATTTCAATGGAAAAGCAAAGCAAAAGAAAAATCCTGCTCTGCACGCTGTCGGGCGTTCTTGAGGAAAAAATTATGGGATTTCTCTCGTTCTTTATACATTTATCTATTTTTTTTTCTCCTTGTGTCTGTGAGTGTGGCGCCGGTGTGTATTCTTGCTGAGGGGTGAGAGGTGCAGGGAAGAGGCATGAGGGGCGAGTGGAGGAGAGGGGCGATTTAATAAAACTGGCCGTAAGGGATAGATAGATGAAATTAACGCCGTTTGGGTTCGAGGGAGCAGCTGAAAAGAGAGACACCGCAACACAAGAATACCCTCGGAGAGATTGGAGGGTGGGGAAATAATTCTCTGCTTCATTCTGCGGCTGGTAGAATCTATTATTATTATTATTATTTTTAATGCTTTTTCTTCTTCTTTTTTTAAAACAAATTTATGTAGGCTCGTGACGTGTGGCCCCCGCCTCTTCAACACCACTTGTTTTTTATTTTTATTTTTACCAGGGGGTTGGTAGGGACTGGGAGTGTGCGTGCGTGCAGCGAAAGAAGAGAAGAGAATAACAACACGATCGGTGCGTGAGTGGGAAGTACGTAGTAAAATCCCGCCCAGGACTTTACTTATTTATTTTTCCTGGCCGGCCAAATGAAGGAACGCAGTGCCGAGCTGCGCTTCCACCCCGTCATGCTGGCGATGCTGATGGTGATGGTTATGATTGGCTTCGCGCTGGGCTACCATCATGGCGTGAAGGCGTGGGAAAAGGATTTTGTGAACAAATACGAGCAAAGCCATGGGCGCGAGCTGCATGCTGGCTCCATGCTTGGGGTTTGTGGCGACGAGCTTTTCCTTCTTAGCAACAATGTCTCGTCGAAGAACCAAACCATCCATGCCGTACAGAACGAGAATGCAGGAATTGAGCAGGAAATGAAGAAGCTTTCGCAGGAGTTCAAGTCTGTCACGGATCTGGTGGATAAGTGCCGGGCTGAGATCACCATCATCGGCGAAGAGGGAAGCAGGAGGGATGGGGATCCCCACTTGGAGTTGAAGGCGATAGAAAACGAGCTACGCGTTCTGAGGGAGCTGTTGAGCAACCTGACGGAGGGTGAGGGGATGCACAGAGTACATATTCATGGGTTACTGGGATCCATGCGGGAAAAGCACAAACACTTCTGCGGCAGGCTCCCAGGATGCACGTTGCTCTCCGATGAATCCATCTTGCGGCGATGGAAAGAAGTCCTTTACAATTCTTCCCAAAGAAGGATGCTGAAGGAGGCAGATCGCATGCGGAGGATGAAGTGGAGGTATGACAAGCAGACCCCGCAAGAAAGGGAATCCATCTACTTCTCGGGGAGGGAAGAAGGGGGAAAGGTTCCCACTTATTTTGGCCGCACTGGCAACTCCTCACTGCTGTTGGCTCAGGGTCAAATGTCTCAGGTGGTTGTGTCCACCGCCCTGGAACGCGTGCTGCTTCTTCAGCGGTTCGCTCTCTGCGCCTACCGCACAAATAACCCTAACATCACTTTCCCCTCCATCTTCCAATGGAGCGCGAGCTCTGAAAACACCGTTGCCGATCTGCGTGATTTGGTAGAAACACCGCTTCTCACTTTCTGTATGGATTGCGCGGAGGTGGAAATCACGAGTGACATTGCGCAGTTGTGTTTAAAGGCTCCAGAGGGCGAAAACGGATACGGTAAACGCGACTTTTGGGCCATGCGATCCATGCTGCTTCCACACTCGGGCGTGGTCCATGATGCAAAGAACTTCTACACAGCACACGCACTCACAAACCGAAAAGTGTTGGCTGTTGTGGCGCATAATTCAGTACGTGACTGCCTTGCACATTTCGATGATCCACGCGGGGACCACTTTTTGTACCTATTGGCCAATTTCCCGGAAGGAAGGACACGTTTTGAGAATCATGTGAGTAACAACACTCTACATCAGTGCTCCCCGACGGCGGCGCAGTTGGCAAAGCGCATCACACAAGTCTTGGAAGAGGGAAAATTGGATGGCGTCAATTCAAGCTTTGACGCCGTGTACATGAGCGTGTCCAGTGAGATATGGAAGGAGTTACGGGGTATTGAGAAGAAACTTCCGTGGTGGGGAATGGCGTTGTTCCGCCAGGGTGAAATTGCCAGCGCCCACGATGAGTTAGTGGATTTGACTATCATTGGAAGAGCGCATGGGATTCTTGTGAGTCCGTTCCTCGCTCCCAGTCAGTACGTTCTGGAGAGTTTCTTGCTCTCGCATGGGCTGCAGCCCATGGGCCGAGTGTGGTTCTTTTAGTGTACGTGCTTGTGAATCAGTTATGAGTGCCGGTCTCTAACGGAGGATCGGCGATACATTCGCAGAATTTCTGCCTAAAAGGTCTGCCGCGATTACGCTTGGGCGAGCGAGATGATGGGAATGAGCCACGCGCACAAAGAAAAAACAGCAGGAAATGCCACTCCTCTCTTTTACGGTCATTGTATTTTTCTCTTTTTTTTTTTTTTTATCGCTTTGAATGAAGGGGTTTGTCGAGTAAAGGCCTTTGGAGAGTAATTCGTAGTAAATAACACCTTTGCAAACACACACATAAACACGCATTGAAACAAGCAGAGGGGACAGTAGTATATAATTAAACAACAAAAAGTCCAACAAAATGGACCTGCTTCTTGGCGTACTTTCAAGTGGCATATTACAGAACGCCTTGCCGTTTGTTGCTGGTGTTGGAAGGGTAAAACGGCCAAAGCGCGTCAAACTCGAGGAGGCGTTTCGCGAGGCACACTTGTGCCGTCCGGTCATTCCTTACAGGGCCCCCACGCCGTACACTGGCGGTCGCGTGAAGGCGCTGTTTGTAGGCATCAACTACACAGGAACACGAAATAAGCTCAGTGGGTGTGTTAACGATGTCCGACAAATGCTTGGAACGCTGCAGCGGATTCAGTTTCCCATTTCGGAGTGTTGTATTCTGGTGGATGACATGCGGTTTCCTAACTTTACGGCTTTGCCAACCCGTGAAAATATTATTAAGCACATGGCATGGTTGGTGCACGATGTTCGACCAGGGGATGTGCTGTTTTTTCACTACTCTGGGCATGGGACAGAGACCAAGGCGGAGCGCGACTCGGAGGAGTTGTACGACCAATGTCTTGTGCCGCTCGACTACCAGGTGCAGGGCGCCATATTGGATGATGACTTGTTTGAGTTGCTTGTCAAAGGGCTTCCAGCCGGGGTACGTATGACGGCTGTCTTTGACTGTTGTCACTCCGCCTCGCTGTTGGATCTTCCATTCGCCTTTGTGGGAAACAATAACTTTTACTCGGGGGGGAGGCACGAAATGCGGAAGGTGCGGGCCAACAATTTTTCCATGGGCGATGTGGTGGTTTTTAGCGGGTGCGATGACTCTGGGACGAGCGCAGATGTGTCAAATGTGTCTTCGTTTGGATCTGGCCTTGTGGCTTCCGGCGGCGCTGCAACACAGGCTCTCACCTGGGCGTTGGTGAACACATCTCAACTTAGCTACGCGGATATCTTTATCCGGACAAGAGAGATATTGCGTCAGAAGGGGTACAAACAGGTACCTCAGCTCTCCAGCTCAAAACCGGTGGATTTGTATAGGCCATTCTCTCTGTTTGGTCCAATTACAGTAAACACCAGTCTCATTCATTATGTGCCACAACAATACCTACAGCCATGGGGGCCGCCACAACCGTACTACCCTCCACCGCAGCCTCAACAGCCGTATTACCCTCCGCCGCAGCCTCAGCAGCCGTATTACCCTTCATCGCAGCTTCCAACGCAGTACAATAATTTGGCGCCTACGGCTGGAATTCCTCTCATGACGTCGTCAAGTGAACTGCCTCCAGGGCAATACCCACAAGCTCTTTCTGGAGATCAGAACGGTGGAGTGCCTCCACAGTATCCATCAGATCAATCTACATATTATTCTTCTGCGCAGTACCTCAGTGGAGTAGGAAAGCCCCTGTGAGTTTTATTTCTTAAAAGAGTATTTGGGGCCTTTTGCAAAAGAGAAAAAAAAAGAAATAACGTGAAGCTGAAAGCACGAATAACAAATAACAATCATGTTATATATATATATATGGAATTAAATGTGCGTGTGTGTTTTGTTGCGGTCTTCGATTTTTTGTTTTGGCGGCGTGTGGTGGGCAGGGAGGAGAGGCATTTTTTTTGGCCTGGTGACCACACCCGCGTGCTTTTTTTCTCACCTTTGCTTCTTTTTCTTCTTGTTTAGGTGCTCAAAGGATGCTGCGGTCATCCCTTTTTTTCCTTTTTTGATTTCAGTCGCAGTTGTTGCGTCCAATGGGACACACGGACAACAACTGTTCGTTCATGTGCGAGCGAATTGCCCGTCTCTTTCCCGAATTTTGTGGGTGTTGCTGCAGGTGGACTGAGGGAATTGTGGATCCTTTTTTTTTTTTTGTCTGCCCGTCATACCCTTCTGAGACAAATATTTTTGTTTTTTTCCTCCCAACGAAAGGCAAATAGAAAGAAAAAACTCTTTCTTTTTTGGGGTGGGTGGGGGTTGGGCGGTGTGTGTCTTTTTAATTCTTCTTGCTGGCTTATTCCATTTTATTTTCTTTTTTTTGTTCTTTGCTTGGCTCCTGCGTGGCAGTCAAGGAATAACGATCACGAGAGGGTGGTAGGGAGCCGTGAGTCAATCATGTGGCTCCGTCGTCTGCCCCCCACACACTCGGGAGCCGCGTGCTCGGTGACGGTGCTTGCCAGGTGGTGCAGCACGCAGTCGGGCCGAGGGCCGGAAGGAAAAGAGAGCTCCTCGAAGGAGACGACGACGACGGAGGGCAAAAGCGAAGGTCTTTCCCTCACGAATACGAATAGCAGCGTGGAGAAAAAGGGCGGATTTCTGCAACCATCGGATGACGTTGTGCTGGAGTACGCTCGACACGCACTGGAGCGTGAAGGGCGCGACAAAAAACCCGAGGCAGTCATATGGCAATGGGATACGACGTATTCGCCGATTTTATCAAAAGGAAAGCAAAATTTCTACGATTACACGGACGACATTCCGAAGCATGTAAAGCCATTTTGGCATCATGAGTACTACCAACAGCGTGAGTACTTTCGATTGCAGCGAGAGAAGCGTCCACTGAGGGAGCAATTAAAAACCTGGGGTATTGTCGTGGCTTGTTTGTCTGTCGCAGGGGCGGCGCTCACGCTTATCCGCGTGTGGGTTGAGCAACCGAGAGAAATTCGTGAACTACGGGAAGAGCTGCTCCAGCAAACTTACGGTAAAGTATTGGAGCTTGCCGCAGGGCATGGCCAAAACATTGGAGCCTACCCGTATGCTGTGCACGAGGTTATTATGTGTGATTCCAACGCACAGCAGCTTCAAGCCTTGCGATACCGCCTTCCACGTACGTCCTATCCCAAGTATGACGTGCGCCGCGTACGGTCGGAGAATCTGGACATTTTTGCCGATGGAGAGTTTGACTGTGTGGTGGATATGTTTGGACTTTGTCATCTCCATGATCCTGTTAAGGCGCTTCGGCAAATGCAGCGCGTTGTAAAACCAAGCGGTCTCATTCTGCTTCTCGAGCACGGCAGCAGTCCCTACCCCCCCGTGAATTGGTTTTTGAGCTACTTTGAGCAGCGGCACAAGGTGAACACGCATGGGTGCAAGTGGAATTTGCCGATTCGGGAGTTTTTGAGGGAGTCACGCCTGGAGGTGAAGGAGCTTCGAAACATGCATTATGGAACGACTTACTACGTCGTGGCGTACCCGGAGGTATTAGAGGCCTTTAAGGATCGCGGTGCTGCTTCGGCGTCTGCGCTGGCTACTGCGTAATTCACTTAAAAGTCCCATTATTGTAACGAAAATATTCTTCGTTGTGCGTGTGTGTGTGTGGAGCTTGAGGAGTGGTACACCAGCTACGTTGTCGTCCGCTTTTTTTTTTCTCATTGTTTCCAATCTATTTTTTTATTGTTTTTCTTTCGGGCGGAAGGGTTGGGAGGGGGTTCCCTCCTCCTTCCGAGCGGAAGCAACAAAAACACGTTGCCCAATGCGCCGTTGACAAGAACGTGGTGCCACCGACTTTCTTTTCCCCCCACTCCCCCGTTTTGCCTTTTAAAGATGTATGGGGGTGGTGGTGTAGTTGCAGCGGAAAAAGAGGAGAAACGAAAAAAAAGAGGGGAGGGAGGTGGAGAGGCACATTTTCTTATTCCGCCCTGAGAGTGGAGGGCATGAGGAGCAAAGCAGAAAAATAAGGAACTCGATGATAGTTGCACCAGCACGTGAAGTGTAGGGTGCTTTTGTTTTTTTTTTCTTTTATTTCTACGCTCTTTTTGTTTTCTTAAACTCTTGTTTTTTTTTTTTTGTTTGTGAAGGCTGCTGGCAATAAGGAGGGGAAGAATACGAAAAGCGGCGGTGCTGGCTGGGAAGCTCTGAATGCAGGAGTGCTACAATCCGCAACACAGAATTCTTCCGGTGGGCAGTGGCGAATCAGCAGGGGCATTTGTTCCTCGTTGGACGCTGTGCGTTACATGTCTTCTGAATCACTTTGAGAGGCTCCCCACGAATGCTGCCGTTCAGGCGCTTCAGGACACCGAGTTTCTGTTGCAGCAAAGTTTTTCCCCTCTTTTCCCTAACCAAGGTGTGGGGATTGGAGGCGAAAAACCGTCAGTTGGTTCTGCAACGCCAAGTGTCTCACCTGAGTCACTGTGGGAATCATTCATGTCCTTTCAGGATGTGCTTGCGCAGCTGGCAGAAATGTTGTGTGCTTCGTCCTCGTTGCATCTTCAGGCACAGCTTTACAGAGCAAGTTTGACGCTGCTTAGTCTCTTGTTCACGCTGTTGAGGGAGGCTGAGAGACAAATTTCAAAGATGAACGGAACGGCGTACATCCTGGAAGGAGATAATTTGGAATTGGGGGATCGTGGCACTGGGAAAGGTGGGGCTTCCATTTGTCTTGTGACCCTTCCAGTTCTTGCACGTCGCATGTGCGATGCGGTGCGCATGGGGCTTTCAAAAGAGGGGGATTCCCCCGCGGGCCTCCTTCTGTTGACAGATTTGGCTGAAATGAGCCCCACCTTCCTGCGGGTTCTTTCTGAGCATTGCGTGCTCTCCGTCTGCGCCCTCCTGACCTCCCTCAGTAATGCGTACAGGGTGGAGTTGACGCTCTATCTGCTTCACCAGGTCTTTGAGACATGCGCAATTCATCCGACATGGCTGGAGAGCCTGGCGGTCGTGCTCTCTGGAAACATGATCTGCGATGCACTGGGTGATTCTTTTTTGGATTTTTTGGCAGGGACATTGGATACCTTTAGGGACGATGAACCGGTTGTTGTGAACGCGCTTTCCCTCGCAAGATTCCTTGTGACCTACGAGACCACAAGGACGGCGCTCCTGTTCTCCAAACTAACTAACACAACCAGAGCCGGTAAAGGTGACTTTGCGCAAATAGTACCGTTGAGACTTCTCCGTCATTTAACTTTGCTGTTACTGGACCTTGATGCTGACATCATTGTGGCTGCGTCTGAGACCATGCGGGAAATTATCGTTGCAACGCAGCCGCCGGGAGGAGAGTCCACCAACATCGCGGATTACGTCATTGAGTCGCTTAGAACAGCATCGGTGTATTCTGCGGTGGTGCTTGTGTCTTTGTTAAATGCACTCCCAACCGAAGTGGTGCCGGCGGGACCCGTTCTCCGTGTCATTTTTGAACTTGCAGGCAACAACGAAATCGCCTTTGAGGAGGCAGTTCGAGGACCACATTTCTTGGCCTCTGTCAAAGGTCATCTCAGCAATATCAATTATGTGGCCCAAAGTGTCGCGCACGCTGCGGAGTGTGGAGGCCGCACCTCTCTTCACTGCTTTTTGCTTCAAATTCGTGCATTGGAGGCCGCTTGTGGCGGAATAAACGCAGGTACATGCACCATCATCCCGGAGACGGTTTCTGTTATTGCGAATACATTGCTGCAACTTGTAACGAAGGAACGTGGTCCTGCACTCACTGAAGATGAGTTAACCGATGGCCAATGGCTATTTAATAATCGTTTTTTCACTCTCACCAACGAGCCGCTTTGGGATCTCATTTTTGGAGTGGCGTTTTTGCTTCCTGCCGTTCAGGGGGCTTTTCTTCCTCTTGCCACTGAGATCATTGCCGAGGCTTTGCGTCGATTTTCGGAATTTGACTTTGTCTCTTTTGACGGTCGGTCGCTTCTATTTGACGGGCCCACCGGGAACGTGTTGTTGGTTCTCAGCGCCGCCGTGCTGGAGCACATGAGCGCTGACGGGGATGAAGGAAACACGGCCGACAGACTTGTTAAGCGGCAGGTGCGCCAACTTTTTGAAAAGGATCTTCTTACTTTTTTGCTTCGCGTCTCGGGGGACTCTTTCTCGCATCGGGGACGTATTTTGTATCATTTTATGCGTCTTGTGGAGTCAAACCGTAATGGGAGGAGCGCGGACCTGCCGGCTGCAACTGTTTTGGACGGTTCCTCGTCGCCGAGGGCGCTGCTCGAGAAGTCGTTTCGCCACCATCCTCACTGGGCGGCCTCTCTTCTCTTGGCACTTGCAATGACTGGCTGCCCCCAGCCGGTGGAAGTTCAGGAGCTGGAAGAATTTTTATTTAAACAAATTTCCATACTTCCCTGGTTTTTGCGGGATGCAAAGCGGGCATTAACAGCGGACGGCGCCGAAGATCTCTGTAGTACTCCTATGGGGAATGAAGATTGCGCCATTGCTGCTCTCACAGCACTGAAGGCCAGTGCAGCCTATCACAAATGGAGGGGTGAATTACCCCACCGAGAATTTTTTCAAGTGGATTCTGTATTGGCAACAGGCCGAGTGTGTGATGTGCCGGAGGAGCTTTCTTTTATCTTCTTTCAGCTGTTTCGCTCGGAGGAGAGATCGTGGCTGGAGGCTTTGAAGTCGTGTAGCTGGGGAACAGGTCTGCTAGCCGTCTTGGTCTCGTCCAGCATCATGCACATGAAACGCGATTTCCCCAAGGAGAGTGTGAAGGAGGCATATGATTATCTCTTTTCAGATGGAGCTTCACAGAACAGTGATGTAGAAATGGCTCTCTGTCGTCTTGTGGTGACACTTGCCCCTACGTGTCACCTTTTTCTTTCACAGCTCTTTGGGATTGTGCGTCGGTCGGTTGCCGATAACCTTTCTCTTGGCTGCTGTGTTATTTGTTTCTTGTGTCAATGTGTTTCCCTGGCTGTGGGCGAGGAGGTGCCCAACTCGACAGCCTTCATTCGTACACTGCTCGAACAACACGTAACGCCTTGCCTGCTGTTTAGAGAAAACCCTGCTCTTACAGGATATGTGGCACGTCTCGTCGTGCTAACTCTCGCCCGGATTCCAGTGGCCATGGCGAGTTGTTGCGATCATACCCTTTTCAGGTGGTCCATGCAACACGTAACACACCCAAAGGCACAAGTGTACACATGGCATGTTGTCTTTCTTTTGCTGGAGCGTGTGCATGGAAACGAGTTTGCATTAAGGTATGAGTCTGAACTCGAGATGAAGCTGCGAGCCGATGGGGGAGAGAAGCTTCCTCCATTTTTTGCGGCCGCTCTAGCAACAGTCAAGTGGATGGTGTGTGGTGCGATGCGACGACGTGGAGCTTGCCGTATGAACCCCGTTGTTACAATGCCATTGAAGGAATGGTCACAGGACTTGTCTCAACACGTGCTGCTGCGGGCTTTTATTATATCAACAGTCGAACGAGAGACAAGGGGGAATTTTCCAGATGCCAGTCTTCTAAATGTATCTCCCATGCTTCTCTCTTGGGCAAACGAAATGTTTGCTCGGCGATACGCCACAGTGGCTACGGCGCGTGTGTTCTACACATTAGTGAAAATTTCTCCGAAGCTTGGGGCCTCATTGGAGGCTCTAGGGTTGTTCCTGCAAATGACGAATGAAACCGAGACGGGTGCCTCTCCCACTGCTGAATCTTCACAGCCTTCTCTGATAGAGCAGCGGGCGTGGGTGTTTGCCGCCTTGGTTTTGTCCTGGCCTCCGTGGGGCGTGTCGGCTGGCTTGAGGGAGGCGGTGGACGCATTTCTCACAACTCTGGAGATGCCCCCGCGTGCGTGCAAAGGGAAAAAGAGACCACGCGAGCAGGAGGTGGATATTTTTCACACGCAGGAGGCCGGAGTCCGCCGTGCGATGGAGGCACTTGTGGAGGCGTGTGAGTGTCGGTCTGAAGAACATGGGACATTTCCACTGAACCGCCCGAAAGACTTTTTTCTCCTCAGACACGCCGCCCAACCAGATGCTAATGTCACACACGAGGTCATGTTTAAAGCAGTTCACGAAGGATGTGAGCTGTTTATTCCCTCCTAACAATAATAATGATACCGATGATGATGGTTTTAACCTTATTTTGTCTTTACGGATGGTGGTGGGTCGGAACCACTTTCAACAGAGTTCTTTTAGTTCCCTTTCTTTTTCTTCTTTAAGACCTTTTTTGGGTTTGTTTGATTTGGGGTGGTGTGTGTGTGTGTTCGTTATAGATATCTTTTTTTTTTTTTTTTTTGTGTGTGTGTGTGACAGAAGAGGGAGAGAGAGTTTGCTTTTTTTTTTTTTGCGGCGTAAGGACGCCTGCGGTGTTGCGTGCAGCGGATAACTTTCCTGTGGGGATGCACCATTTTCAGACGCGGATGGAGCGAAGCGCGGCAAAAATTTTATTTTTTTTTGTCTCGCTGCTTTTATTTCCTTTGGCTTTGGTTTCTAATGCGGATGCCGTGCAGCCCGTTGCTTGCGCCCACCCGTAGGCGCTGAATCTTAGGCGGGGGCACGCGAAGCAAAAAAAAAAAAAAGAAGAAAAAAGCAAATTGAGCGAAAAGCCACGCACACCGCACAAATAAAGTGCCCATGGAGAGCTCTCGCATTGACTGGATTATTGCCAATGAGAGGAATTACTACGGTATTTTAGGCATACCACGGGATGCGGATGAGAGGGACGTTCGTCGCAGCTACCTTACACTAGCCCTCCAACTCCATCCGGACAAAAACATCAATAACAAAAGGGCGGGGGAGGCATTTCGTGCAGTGGGCAAGGCATACGCCGTACTGAAGGATAAGAGGATGCGTATGATTTACGATGAGGGAGGCGTTGATAGAGTTCATGGGCTTGACGCGGAGGATCTGTCAATTAAAAACCTCATGGCTGCACTATCCAAACTTGTGGCTGCAAAAGTGCTTTGTATTGTGGCACGCAGAGCACATGCTGTCGAAATATTGAGGCAGAGGCATGGTTGGGTGGACGCATTCACTTCTTGGGGTCCGGCGGACGATTTCGCATGTCTCCAGAAATCGCCCCGAGAAGCGGCCAGGCGCATTGTACGGAAGGTGTTTATTTCTGTCTTTATGTTTTTTCTTTGCGTTTCAGTCGGCCATACTTTTCTTCAATTTATTAGGAGGACGCCCAATGAAGGGTCGAGTGAGGAACCGTACCGTCGGCTGTCACGGTATAACTCCAACGACACGGGCGCCACGTTCACGATTCGTGTGTTACGTGGTGGAAAGATGACGGACACTGTCATTTGGAGGCCTTCCAGCATCAGTGAAAATGACGCCAGAGCGCTGGTGCTTCAGTGGATTCATGAGATGTGCCCTACAGAAAAGCTCTTGTCATGGGCGTCGCGAGAGCGCTATAATCGCACGGCCACTCTTCGTGTTGGCCGGAAGTTGAGGGCGGCACCGAGTCCAAACCGTGCCTTAAGGCGGAAATGGGCTCCCAAAGGCTGGAAAGTAAAATTTCAAGAATTTTTTCCCATCACCTCTGCTGAGGATTTATATGTGCCTTTACCTCTGTGTGAAGGCGTGGGATAAATCCCATTCGCCCAGGGAGTTGCAGATGTCTTTTTTTGTTTTTTAAAGTTTTTTCTCCTTCTTCTTCTCACCATTGTGTGCGTGTGCATGTGTGTGTATATGTGTATGAGCTTGTGTGACTCTGCGTGTCTTTCTTTATTCTTCTCTTCTTCTCAACGCAACGCAAAGAGAGGAATAAAACGAGAAGAAGCCGGGATGGACGGTAGAGTGAAGGACCTTCTTAGAAAATCATGCAGTGCGGGAGCCCCATGGGAGGTCGCCGTGCAAGTCGTTTCTTCGCTTTTTCAATCTAAAAACGGCAGTCACCACGACGTGTGTCTCATTTACGCGGTGGTGGGGGAATGCATGCGCCTTTGTATTATGCACCAAAAAACAGCGGATGCTCTTCGTATATACGAGTTATTTAGCCGCTCTGGATACGTGCTAGGCCAGAGCCGTCACGCTCGGCTGCGTTCTCTCCCCGTGCTATTGAGTGTCGAGTCATTACGGGGGCTGTCTGCTGATGAGCTTGCTTTGGTGGCACTGCGCCAACACCCGCATCGCGTCCATCAAAGCAGAATTGTGGCACAAATGATAGCGGCTGAGGATGCAGACCCGGACGATGTGCGCAACACACCGGTGATGACAGAGAGGCCTCTGGCGTCAAAAGCACCACCCTTTCGCGATGGTGTACAGACTTTTGTCAACATGGACGGAGGGTTCGCGGAGACATTTAACGTCCCGTTTTTGGGGGTGACTGAGGTGACGGAGGCCGAGCAGTTTCGTATTCTTCTTCAACAGAACATGCAACTCCTGCGCGAGACCCGGTACTTTCAGCAAAGGCTGGGGCTCCATTATCTTCTTTCGCAGATGCGCCACGTCGTAGACAACAAGCGCCTTTCTTCAGAGGTAGAAATGGTCCCACTTGTGCATGTCGGTCGCGCGGTATTGGAACACCCTTTTATTTTTGCAAAGCCATCTACCGAAACCGCACGTCAGCAACTTCTTTTCGAGGAGTTTGGTAGCCTGCCAGTCCACAAGGGCCTGAGCGAGGTACAGCAGGCGAAATTGATGGCACTTGAGACCACTGTGGAGCCTCTCAGGCCGTTATGTAGGGAACCGTTGAAGTTTATGGACTCATTAGCCTCTTCGTGGGATGCCTTGTTTGTGCGGCGGGCTGCCCTCACTTTGGTATTGCCAAGGGAGGCTCATGATGTTCTCCCGCGCAGTAGGACCAGGGGTCGTGGTGGTGGCAGTATTAATGTTAGTGGTGGTGGCGGGGATTGCGGGAGGGGCGAGCGACATTTGGAAAACAGCTTAACCGCATCAACGTGGACGGATGCATCTAGTGAGCTTTTTGGTGGCGTAGAGGTCCGTGATGCGGCGTCACGTGTGGAGCTACTTATCACCCGCCGGCTTCACCATAACATTGTTGTCCCTGACACAACGTTTCTCCTTCAAAACACGAATCAGCTATTACAGCTCGCAAGACATCGGGAGGTGGTGATTCCCCACTCCGTCTTTTTGGATTTGGTGAATTCTGCGTCGGATGATCAGGGCCGACGTCGTTTTCACTCTCGCCGTGTATTGCTCTTGTTGATGCATGCAACAACAACCAAGAAAACGGTAAGGGACACTCATGGCTCACTGGATTCATACTCTGTACACATGAAGCGAAGTCAAGGTGGTGTTACACTTTTAGGACTTCAAGATGAAGTGGTTCTTCTTGAGAATAGTCACGAGAGGTTTTTTCTGGCCGATGCACTTGCCGGACAGGAGCAGGAGGGGCCCAGCATCGGCAGATCCAGCCTCGCCAGTGTACTGGTAGCAAAGCAGTTGGGGAAGATGGTGTCTTCAACGCCCGGTTACGTGACGTGTAGGGATGCTTCAACAAATGCAAGCGAAGTCGACCATCTTGTGGCGGGTGTCATTGCGTCCATGAAGGATGAGAGTGAAACACAGGGTGATCATGGGGCCCTGGTCTGCATTCGTGGAAAGCCAGCGCCTTTGTTCAAATCTCGTTCTCGTTCGTTCTGGGCCCGTACGCCTGTGGTGCTTGCAACCACAAGTGACGTTACCCGAAGGGTCGCTTTTATGGTTGGTCTTCCGATGTTTCCCCCGGTGAGTGCTGTTTAGCCGCGGTGTGTCGTATCGGTAGAGGTTTTCATTTGGGGAGGTCTCGAGGGGAATAATGTCAGGCATTTATTTATTTACTTTTTTTACATGTGTATTATCGTCATTATTTTTTTTCCTTTTTGCATTTTTTTTTTTTTTTTCCATTTGTGTGTATAAGTGTGATTTCCACCTCCTCTTTGTACCTCTGTATGCATGTTACGTGCATGCTTCTGTGTCTCTGTGTGGCGGAGAAGGGTTGTGTGTGGCGCGTGTGTTCTTCCAAGGATGGACCGTATGCTTATTTCTCCCTTGCTTTTCGTTGTTGTTCTTTTGGTTTTTACTTGTTGAAGGGGTAGATATATTTGTCTGGGTATATCTGGGCATCTTGCTTCTTCTCGGCGCAACTAAAGACCTCCTCCCTGCCAGCCACACATGTTTCGTCGCTCGTGTATCTCGGCTGTCCGTAGAACACGGCTTAATCATGTTTCATTGGTGTTTAAGCAACTTGAGGGTTCCAATCCGTTGACTGTGAAGGACAAACCCGTGAACTCGTGGTCAGACGAGTTCCTGAAGCCACCCGTGTCGAAGGAAATGATGAATAAGCACGGAAAGTACGCGAAATACTCGGATCCCGCACTTTGCACCGTAGATACCTCCTCGGAGGTGGTGCTTAACACATACCCTGACGGTGCACCACAAGGTCGAATTGAGACCACGGCAGGTGTTGCCCTAAAGGATTATGATGCTTCCATGTGGGATGAGGAATTTTTCCGCAAGTTTATCCTAAAACCAAAGCTGCCAGAAGAACTGGAAGACCGTGCGCGTGTGACGGATTACGCACTGAATTCAGCTCTCTTGGGTTTTGTGATCCTTATGGCGCGCTATGCCGTGCTACCGCTCTGGTACGTTGGTCAGCCGGCCATGTCTATGGTCGGCCAGATGAACATTGAGGCGGAGGTGGGAGAGCTAGAGGATCGCCAGTGCAAAACCATTGTGTGGCGTGGGCGGCCAGTTTTTGTCTACAAGCGCAGTGCCCGTCAGATGAAGGAGTTGCAGGAGACACCATTGAGCGCCCTGAAGCACCCAGAGGCGGACGAGGCCCGTTTCCCCGATCACCGCGAAAAGGCTGTCGTCATTGCCATTTGCACACATTTGGGATGCATTCCCATTCCAAACGAGGGGCTTTACAATGGTTTCTTTTGTCCGTGCCATGGCAGTCACTACGATGCCTCTGGCCGAACTCGTCAAGGCCCGGCGCCGCTGAACCTGGAGGTTCCGCCCTACAAATGGATTGACGACAACACAATTTATATTGGAAAACTGTAATATTGCAGGTGGAAGGGGCATCAGGAAGAGGGGAAGGGTTAGGAATTTGACATACATATCTATATCTATATATATGTAGGTATTTCTTTTTCCTATTTTCCTCCCGGATACTGCGTGGGAAGGGGGAGGAGCACTCGTGGCATACTTGCGGTGATCTGTCAATGTTTTTACTTAGCTAGGGATTCCGCAGGGTGGGTCACGACTTAGGGAGCGGCGATGGGGCGGGGAGGAAGCGGGAGAGTGTGATGTAAGATGAAAAAGGTAACTGGAATAGGGCGAGAAATTGGAAAGAGAATAGGGGGTGGGGAGAGACACGCATCAGGCGGCAGCGAGGGGAACAAATCCTGAAGAGAGAGAGATGGAAAAAAAAAAAAAAGGAGGGAGCAAGCAATGAATGGAGAGGGACAGCAGGATGGAAGGGAGGAAAAAAAAAGAGGGAACACAAACACACAAGAAAAAAAAGTAAAAAAAAAATAAATAAATAACAACAACAGAATGAAAAGCGAAGAAAAATTATTTTAAACAAAGGGGCGCCAAACAGTAATAAAAGCTGCAGCGAGAATTCGTTTCTCTTCCTCACTCTTGTCATTCTTTTTGTTCTTCCTGCCGCATCCGAGAATAGCAACCGAAGAAGTCGTTGAGGAGAGTGGGAGGGGTTGTGGGTGCCGCTTGTTTGTTTTGCTTCTTTGCTCGCTGTGGTGTCTCCAAAAAAAAAAAAAAAAATAAATCTCAATTCTCTCACCCTTTTGAATTTTTTTTTCTTTTTTTATTTGTGTTTCCCACAAGTGTCCTCAGTCAGTTAGGCTTTTTTTTGTGAAGGCCGGGGCTCATCCTACACACCGAGTCCCTTGGCTTAACCACACAACCACTTTGGATTTGTCTTTTGGCTCCGTGCGGTTCCTCTGTGTTATTTGAACGTCGTATATATACATATATACATATTAATTTGATGTCTTTCCTTTTGGGTGCAAAACGCGCACGAGAGGAGTTATCTGCGTGCGAAAGATCAGTGGCTTATCGCGTTGCCGCTCCGCTGCGGTGCAGATTGTCATGTTTAGCGGAGGGAGAAGTGGTGAAGGGAGCTGCTTTTCTTTCGGTAGGTGGACATTCCTTGTGTTCCAGGCTAGACAAAGGGTCATCCCCATTCTCATCTGCCTCTGTTCGGTCAAGGCACTCCGTCCTTAATCACGCGGAGAGCCGTTTGGTTGCTCACAGACACGGCTTCTGTCGGCAGCCGACAGTTAGCGACTGTTCAGGGGGGGACAGAACGCCTTCATTTTCGCCTCGCCAGGTTCAAATGGATGTCACGAGGGGCGACACAGGTAGGCATTATCGTTTTACCTTCTTTATGCCGGCCCCGGATCCTTTTTGCGGTGGTGAGAAAGACAAGGCGACGGGCGCAGTAAAATACCGCAATGCCGTTGTACGTGAATTACTGAACCAAGTAAGTCTGGAGGCAGCACTGACAGCTGATCGTGAATGGGATGTTGTTTTCCATGGAAAAAATGTCTTATTTGAATCCGGAGCGGAGTCGCTTATGTCGGCGTTGCTTTCAGATTCCTGTCAGCGGATTCCCCTTGCCCTGTTTTACGGACTGGAAACGGAATGAACCTCTGTGTCTTATTTAAAGGTGCTGAAACGGGAGTGTGGTTTGCCTTCCTCACTCTTTTTTTTTTTCTTTTTTCTTTTTGCCTTTTTCTTTTTCCTTGCGGCGGCTGTGTGCCTAATTCGTCCGCGAAGGTCAGTTTGTGGGGCAGAGGCTCATTGGGGGTCCATGCGGAAAGCATCCGTGGTTCGCAACACCACCACCACCACCACCGTCAGCACTAGCAGCAACGAAAAGGAAAGGACACCAAGAAGTGGGAGGATGTAAACGAATTGTTGTTGGTGGCAAAAGCAAACACAGCCACACACAAAAAAGCAACAACAACAACAAGAACAAGGAATGTGGCGAGCGGTTTTCGTTTGTTGAGCATTATTTTATTTGTTTTTCTCGTTTTAAATTATTATTATTATTTTTTTGTGTTCTTTTTTTTTTTGTTGCGTGTGTCCGCTTCACATCGTTTCTTTTTTGCATTTTTTCCTTTCTGCATGTGTCTCTGCGCGGAGCAGCACGATGATGCCGCGCAAGTGCGTTTCTGTTTTCTTTGTGTTGCTGGAGATCCTGCTGGTTTTGTGTTTTGTTGCGTTGCCGGTGGCCGGGGCGTACTGTGTGACGCCAACCGAAATTCCTGCCAACGTTTGCCCTTCCTTTACACTGACGGATCAGCTTTCTGCGCTTTTTGGGCGTGACACCGCCGTGGCTTCGTGCTATTGTGGCCGTGTGTGTCAGACGTCGTGGGATGCGCGTCAGGAACTTTCGTTGCGGTGGGAAATGGAGCGGTGGATTCGCGCGAATCGGACGGCAGGGATGTTCCCCGAGGAGTACGAGTTTGTAATGGACGAGTTGATGCGGCTCACGACTCCTTTGCGGGGTGACGAGCCATGGCACGTGCGACAGGAGAAGGAAGTATACGCCAAGAGGGCAAACGCGACGCTTCGAGACATGCCGTGGCTACTTGTATCGAACGGCACTTTTAAAAGGGCGCAGGATTTTTATCACAGAAATGTGCGGCAGCGGCACATTGTGCGCTCTTTTCACCTTTCGAGGGAGAAAAGTAGGCCAGGGATAATTCGCTTTTACCTGCAGGAAGTGGCCGGGTGGTGGGCCGAGGCGGAGAAACATGTGTCACGTGATCTGCGGGTTGCCGCTCCGTTACTGCCGTGGATTAGCCTGGAACAGCTCATCGGTCCACCAATGACACCCGCTGAGATCCCTCAGCCGGAAATGGCGGGTCGTCCTGCTGCAGCTGCGACGAAGGTACCTGCCCCGATGCAGCGCCGCTCATTTCGTTTTGCTCCTGCACGTCTGCGTGCACCCACGGCGATGGTGTATTATTATTCCGATGACTGTGTTTTGTGTGAGGCGTTGGGTGTGGCCTTTGATGTTCTACCACTCATATACAGGCGTCTGTGTGAGTACGGGCATCGCTCCATTGTCAGCTGCAGCCCGTTGTTTTTATTTTTTCGCGCCAGTGCGGAGTTGTCGGGGTTTAGGACGCCGGCGATTGCACTCCACGGTGTGGAACTTGGTGTGGAACCGACCTGGATGCCTCCCATGTCTATTTTGTACGACATAGATGAGCTTGTGAACCCAGCAGACGCCTTTGGGTTCCTTACGTTGTCAGTTCCTGTTAACACGAGCCTGCAGGAGACACTAGTGTCACTGATACGCCCCTTGGTCGCGCTTCACGTCATAAATCTGCGGTATCTTTCTTCCGATGAGATCACGGAGTTGGGCCGATTGGCCTACAAGATCATGAAACAGAAGAAACGGCAGCAGCAACAGAATGCGTCAGCGGAAAACTCTTCCGACACGAAGGACGCCATATTATCAGAAGACGACGAGGGAAAAGACGAGGCGTCGGAAGAGAGGAATAGGGATTTAGCTTGGCAGCAGGGACGCGTGATCACACGTGAGGATTATTTGCACGAGGTTGTGGTGTTTCATATGCGCGAGCTTTGGGGAAACAGCACAGCGGAGGTCGAGAGCAACGAGTTTCTTCTCTGGTCTCAGCTGGAGCCGCCATGGATTATGGTTGTGTCCTCCGTGCTCTCTGTTCTGTGGCTTTTGATCCTAATTTGCGTACCAAAGGGCTTCAGGTTCTAATTTTGTTTTTGTCTGTGTGTGTGTGTGTGTGGGCGTGTTTCTCTTAATGGACTGCACACGTCTATTTATCCCTGCTGTTGACATTCAATGGATGGGGCAGTCATGTGCCACTTTTGCCTCTCACCACACTCTTTCATCCCGTTTCTTTTTTCTTTTTTTTTTTCCCTCCCTTCCCATTTCTCCCTTCTCGAGTCAAAAAAACAACAACCACAAAAAAGAGGGAGGCTCACAGTCGACAGACTTTACTGCCATTACCCTGCGAAAGTAGAGCGAACACGCTTTCCCACTCACTCGTATTTTTCCATTCACTTGGGTTCTCTCGCGTGTATAGACGGAACTCGCAAAGGCGGCTGAACAATTGCAAAAATCACGGGCAACAGGCGCACGCACGCACACCATTCCTCTTAGGACGCCGGAAGGAGAAGCGAAGCAGACACAAAAAAGGGGGAAACAACAAAAACAACAGGCAAAGAGGAAGTTTGAGGGGTTAAAAGAGAAGCAATAGTTTTGCCCTTCCTTTTTTTTTTTTTTGTCTCTCTCTCTCTCTCTCTTTTCTTCCTTCTGTTTTGTTTGCTCTTGCGAAAGAGGAGGTCACTACGCCACTTCTACGATATTTCTCTCAGGAAATAAAAAAATAAATAAATAATATATATACATAAATATATATAAATATTTTAGGGGAGCTGAAGGGTTCCGGGTTGGTTTGTTGCCGTTTTTTTTTTTTTTTTTGTTTGCTTTGGTTTGTGAGTTGCGGCCTTGTGAGGGTGGGGCGGGGGCTGGGCTGGTTTGATGGAGACCGCGCCGCACAACATCCAGACTGAGCGCTTTGAGGCGGATCAGTACGTCAGGGTGCAGCTGTCGACGGGTCGCTCCGAGATTGGCGTCATTCTCAGCATTGACGAGTCTGGTGGGACGGCCGTTGTGGCAACCCGCCACGGGTATGACATCACCGTGCGCCTCAGCAGTGTGCGACGCGCCTTCCTGCTGGTGCTGGACCTCAACGGCGTTCTGGTTTCCCGCGGACGGGGGAGTTTTTTTGACCGCCCCGGGGTGTGCGAGTTCATCAACTTCGTGATGAACAACTTCGTGGTCGCGGTGTGGACCAGCGGGCTGGAGCGCACCTCGAACCCCATCATCGATAAAGTGTTTGACGGCTTTCAAGACAGACTGCTTTTCAAACTCTACCGTGATTCGTGCACCGTGTGGCCGACGCCAGAGAAGCCGTACCGCACCATTAAGAACCTGCAGCGCATCTTTGATAGCTACCCGAAGAGCTTCAACGCGGTGAATACCATCATTGTGGACGACTCCCCTGACAAGTGCTCTCATCCTGATATCGCCCTGTGCCCTGTGCCGTTTACCGATCCTGTGAAGCAGATGGACGACAATGGCCTTGTGCTGGCAATGGAGGTGCTGAAGGAGGTGCTCCGCACTGAGTCCCATGCGCCACTGATCCGCGCGAGCGAGGAACGTTTGGTGGCCCTTGCGGCCCAGGAGGAACAGGGAAAGAAGGAGGAGGAAGATGCGTTAGCGGGTGGGCCGTCGGCGGGCGACGCGAATGATGTAAAGTCAGTGGAGTTACCGGTAACATTTCTTTGGGCAGCGCGCCTGTGTTGCGATTATATTAGCGGTGGGTGTGCGCGTGAGGACTGTCGCTTCGTCCACAGTTTTGACGACGGGAAGCGGCCGTGCTCCCGAAAAGGTGCATGCCGCCGCGGCCACGCACGACGGTGGATCGACGAACCGCTTGCCGAGGCAGAAGCCCCATCGACGACCACTTCATTGAAGACGCCCGGCACATCGGGTCCCTTCAATGTGCCAAGCGTTTTTTCGCTCTTTTCGACCAATCCGGATCGGCAAAAGGAACATCAACAGCACGATTATGCATGGAGCAGCAACGCTCACTCAAAACAGGAATGGACTAAAGACACCAAACACCAGCTACAGCAGAAGCAGCAACAACAAGAGCAACAGCAGACGAAACAACAGCAAAATAAGTGGCAAAAAGAGGCGAAATTTGTTGGACGCCAAAAAGATCCTAAGGACGTTTTTTTTGGACAAAAAGACACTAATCGCGGGATGTCAAATATAGCGCAGTTCTTGGGGTCACATCACGGAGCACCGCGCAATGCCCATTCTCTTGACTCTGTGGCGCCGGGACCCAAATCCATGCGGTTTACAGGTGACAGGAAGGATGGTAGTGCCCTTCTTCGCCAGCTTCAGGAGAGTCTGTCGATTGCTAAGGAGGGGAGGCCTGCTAACACGAGGCCAATTAGAGGGAAGGACAGGGGTTGTTAAACTGTTGCATGCCATTGTGCATTTTTGCCATTATCACCATGATTACGAACATAGCTTTACAAATGATAGATACACCACGCACCGCGTACTCCCCTCCTCTTTATTTCTTATGGCTTTTGAATCTGCTGAGAGGTTTTGTGTCTGTTTTTTTTTTTTTTGCAATGCTTTTCGTCCAATGCGTAGGGGGTGAATTAAAAGCGTGTGACTTTTTTTATTATTTCTTTCTTTCTTTCTTCTGCCCGTTGTGTATCTTCTTTTGGGTTACGCTGTGCTCTTTCAATTTTTCCTCAAAGGGGAGCTGTGTGTGTACTTGTTGGGGACTCACTTTCTGCGGGGCACCTTTTTGCTTTTTTTGCTTTTTTTTTTTTTTTGATGCGTGCCTTTTTCCTTTTTTATTTCTCTGTGCACATTACTGTCCGTTGCATCAAATTCATTTATTGGGGCAACCGGGGGTTCCCACCTCGCTCCAAGAGGGAGAAAGAAAGAGGTGAGCTGCTGGAGAGAAGGAAAGAGAGAGGGGGAAAGAGGGAGGGAGGGCATATACACCTGTATGTGCATACATGTGTAGTTATGTTGTTACTATTGTTATAATTTGGATACGCAGCGGTGGTTATAGGCGCCACCTGCTGACTGCGATCCCCGTCCGATTCCTCGCCGTCCCTCTCGGTCCATTCACTTGGAGAAGAATCTGTGTCAACGCCCGTCAATTTACAAAAAAAAACAAAAAAAAAATATAAAACGGTGGACCACTCAGAAATTGTTTTTCTTTTTCTTTTCCTTCTTCTTGTATGACTTTGTGTGATTCCATTGTTTGTGGGGCGACACGGACGGTCAGGCCTGCAAAAGGGGAATGGAACGAGGGGGAGGGATGGGCGGACGTTCATGTATTGCATGTCATGTGCTGCGGCACAGACGAATTGCACGCACAAGTTTTTTTCTTCTCCTTTTTTTTTTTTTACTTGTGTGTGTGAGTGTGTGTGGCAAATTTTTTTTTTTGCTTTCTGGCTGTCCGGTGTGTGCGGCGGGGAACAGGGAGGAGGGGGCAGCGGAATAGACGGAAAAAAAAAGAAACGACAACAACAAAAAAAAAAAGGAAAAAAGAAAATGCCCCGGTAAGCAGAACAGTGGGGAAAAGGAAGAAAGAAACAAACAAACAAAAGGAAACGAAGTGAAATACACGGGAAGGGAGGGACGAAGGATTTTATTAATACGGTTAGTTTTTGTTTGTATCATTACGTCTGTTTTTTCTTTTTTTTTTCTTTTTTTTTTTTTTTTTTTTTAAATTAAAGGTGGAGGGAGACTGTGATCGTGCGGCTCTCCTTGCCTCCTCTTTCTCTCTGTGTGCGTGCATGCCACTGTGTGTGTCAGAGAGGGAAGTACACTATGTATATATATACTTATACATACTTATATATATATATATTCTCATACATGTGTGCATGTAAGCGATGAGGGGCAACTCAAACACACCGACAGACATGAAAACAAACAAAACAACAACAACAACAAACAAAAAAGAAAGAAGGGTGCGTGGGGAAGGGGGTAAAGGAGGTTAAATTAATGCGGTCTTACATTTTCATGGGGGGAGTGCCGGTAATCAGAAGAAAAGAAACACAGGAGACACAAAGTAATAATGAGATAAAAGTAGTAAAAGAAGCAGGAGTTATTTTTATTTTTATTTTTGTTTTGGCAAAAGAACTGAAGCGGAAGTATACATCTATCTATCTATCTATATATTTACATGTCCGTTGGCTTTTATGGCACTTTGTCTCCCTCCCACTGTCCCCTGCTCTCCGTACATCTTTAAGCGCGCGTGCGCTTCTCATGTCACGTTTTTTTTTTTTTTTTCCTTTTCCGTGTTTCTCTTTCTTTTCGGCTTGCTTGAAGTGTCGGAACAAAATGGGCTTGGCAAGGCTGCTTTTCAGACTTTTTTTTATTGTTCTTTTTGTCTATGCGTCAGCGGTGGGGGCCGTGCTTGTGCCGTTCCCGCCCAGTTTTTTTGTCACCACCGGGACGACGATACCATTCCCGCTCGCCACACCCGTGGCACAGAGCGGAGCCATTTATGTATCCAACAAGACGAAGCAGTTGCGCATTGATAACTTTTTTTTGGGAAGTCAATATTCCTTTATTGCCGATGGGGAGCGGCGGCGTGGGTACGTGCTGGAGAGCCACGCCCCGGGAAGCTTTGGCGCAAGTTATGAGGAAAAAGGCAGTTTTTGTCGCACCTTTAAGATGACTGGTGATGTGACAAGCTTTGGTGTTCCCGATGAGTTCCTGAAACACGCAGAAGGAAATCTTGTGCGTGGTGTGGAGGTGACACGCTACACGGGGTATGACCGTGACAGCACAGGGCCACTGCAACAGGTGGACTATTACGTCCGTAACATGACCTTCAAACTGCCTGGAGAGAAGAAGGGAACAGTAGAGGAATTTGTGTTTACTATTCCTTGGCGGGTACAAACTCAGCGTCAACAAAAGGCACTGAAAGAGCTTACAGGCGCTCCCGTCACTGTGCCGAATTGGCGTTACTTTGGTGGCCCTTTCTTTGACGAGGTGATTACGCCAGATGAGCCCTTCGTGACCCATCTGCAACGCCTTATGGAGGACACAATTGTCACGGTCGACTTCTACAATTTTGTCCCCATAGCACCAGACCCTTCGGTGTTTAAAGTCCCTTCGGACTGTGAAGAGGTGGATGCGGGGACCGCAAGCAGCAACGTGGACATCTCTCTCGCCCAAAGACTTTTGGTGGATTTAAGTTTTTACACTACAGCCGGGCGGCAGACACTGCGGGAAAAATCAAAGGACACGTGAGAGCTTTTTAATTCTTTAGGAAGTGTTTGGCTCGTTAGAGTGCTTTTTAATACGTGCTTTTTTTTATTTGTGCGTGTGTGTGGGGAATTGATTGGACAGCCTCTGCGTTTTTGGGCTGGAGATTAATATACGCATAAGAAGGGCAGGTTATTTGTGATGTTGGGGGCGAGTAATGAAAGCGGACAGAAAAACGATACATGTGGCGTGACATGTGCTTCTCATCCTTATCTTTATTCAATGGTCGGATATTATCCGAATAAGATATTTGAAGGAGAAGCAACAACAACACAGCGAAAAGGGGGCGAGAAAACGGTTTAGACGCCCTTGTTTATTTATTTATTTATTTAATTTACGTGGCTGTACGGATGCCACTTTTTAATATTGTTTCCAAGAAGTTGAAGCCCTCCGAATATGTTGTGCAGAAGGTTGAAGAGGGGAAAGCGATGCGCACGGTTCTTCCCTTTCTCTCAAGGAAGCTCGGCATCCCGTCAATGAAGAACTACTTGGCCTTTGCATGCGATGAAAAAAGAAAACCGGTGGCCAGGCTGGATATGGACATTCCACTGGAGGAACAAGGTGTGCCACCGTTGTCGTTTATCTACGTATCTCCGATGGACGCCACGCCAAAAGGACCGGATGGTGAGGAGCTTCCACTGGCGTTGGATCTAAAAACCAGTAGGCAAAAAAGCGGGGAGGAGGAGGATATGCCACCACCACCTCCACCCCCAGAAGAAGAAGGAGACACCTGCACCAAGAGGCGTGCTGAGCAGGAAGAGGAGGCGAAGAGGCGTGCTGAGCAGGAAGAGGAGGCGAGGAGGCGTGCTGAGCAGGAAGAGATGGCGAGGAGGCGTGCTGAGCAGGAAGAGGAGGCGAAGAGGCGTGCTGAACAGGAAGAGATGGCGAGGAGGCGTGCTGAGCAGGAAGAGGAGGCGAAGAGACGTGCTGAGCAGGAAGAGATGGCGAGGAGGCGTGCTGAGCAGGAAGAGGAGGCGAGGAGGCGTGCTGAGCAGGAAGAGATGGCAAGGAGGCGTGCTGAGCAGGAAGAGGAGGCGAAGAGGCGTGCTGAGCAGGAAGAGATGGCGAGGAGGCGTGCTGAGCAGGAAGAGGAGGCGAAGAGGCGTGCTGAGCAGGAAGAGGAGGCGAAGAGGCGTGCTGAGCAGGAAGAGGAGGCGAAGAGACGTGCTGAGCAGGAAGAGATGGCGAGGAGGCGTGCTGAACAGGAAGAGATGGCAAGGAGGAGTGCTGAGCAGGAAGAGATGGCAAGGAGGCGTGCTGAACAGGAAGAGATGGCAAGGAGGCGTGCTGAGCAGGAAGAGATGGCGAGGAGGCGTGCTGAGCAGGAAGAGATGGCAAGGAGGCCGCTTGTGTACGTTCCTAGCGGCGGCGCCGGGGAATCCTCGATGCGTTTGTTCAATAACTTGCTGGAAAATGGGGTCTGTCAGTTAGACAATACCCAGTCGATGGGAATAGAGCACAGGGTGCAACTGAATCTTGTTCCTGATGTTATTCGCGTCGCAGCAGAAGAAGAGCGAGTGCTTGATGTTGGATGTGACGTGCCAGAAGAAACGGCCCTCCAGCTCGCTGCCGTCGCGAATGACCGTCCAGTTCATCACGCCGTTATCTTGCGGCTTGCAAAGTTGGTGTTAAGTAGGCGTCCGGGCAAACCACATATATTCTTGTGGTCGCATCTGCAAAGCAAACTGGGTGGCCATGAAGTGAATGCGCACATTCAAAAGAAGGAGGTTTACCGTCGTACTCCTAGCACCACACTCACTTTTGCTCCTGTTGGTGATACCGCTGAGGAGCGTCTCGTGTCTGGGGCACCGGCGGGCCCTGCTCGAACGGCAATGCGTTACTGGGCGAGGCTTCTTATTGAGAGCAAGCCTGACAATCCGGAACTTTTTATGTGGTCTAAGCTCGAGGCAAGGATGGAGAGGGATTCACTTGGGATTCCGCAGTCCCGGACGTCAAACGCGGCGTCAGCCAGGGACTCCACGAGGATTTCTTTGCTTCGTGGCATACCGCGCGGCACCCCGGCCTACACTGTTATGCGCAACCTCGTAGACCTCACTTTTGAGAAAAAACCAGATCAGCCTGAAATGTGGATGCTGTACCACTTTATCGCCCGCCACAAGTCCTCTGCAGCACCCTCAGGACGTTCGTCTGTGACGCCCGTTCGTTTCCTTGAGGAGGATATCGGGGGAGACGGGAGCCGCACCCCGAGTAGCAAAGACGTATTTTTCAGTGCGGATGCTTCCATGCCGCGCCCAGTGGCGATGCTGTCGGGTCAGTGGGCAGATCGCGCAGCCACTTGGTCAACTCAAAAAAACAGCATGCGATCACGGACCAGAGAAGTGTCGACACAAACTTTCCACGACTCTCAGGGGACCGCACTGGCAAACTCCACTCGAGTAGCAGTAATACCGCGTGCAAGAGTGGGATCACCCCTGCAAGCTACGAGTTTTCTCCGCAATCTTTCTCCACGGGAGCTGCTGCAGCCACCACCTTGCGACATGTCGTTTTTGCGCCGCCGCCGCTATGGCGCCATGGCTTCTGATCTGGAAGAGCCCCCGGTGTCTCCTTTTTATTATGAGAAGTACAGTTTGCTCTCCGATCCATTGCAGCACCCTAGTGGTCCTTTATTTCGACGGGGTCGTTCGTCCCGCGGCTTTAGGCGCCCGTCTCAGGAGGACGAAAGAAATCTTTTAGGATGTTGGGGGCATAGTGATGAGAGGTCTGACGGTAACAGAGCGGAGCAAAATGAGTTTACTTCGTTGCCGCCGTGCGAGAAATTTCTACTGCATTCACCAGTATCATTACGTCGTCTTTCCAGCAGTGAATCTCCAGAGTCGCAGTATGCGATGCGACGACGTGAAACAGACCGTGCAGAAATTCTTTATGAGTACAACTGGCTGCTACAGCGCGAGGCGCTACGGAAAGAGCAGCTGCGAAAAGAGCTCGAGCTTCTCCGATACGAAAGGGAGGTTCGTGAAAGAATGATGTGCCGTGGCCCCACCGCACAGATGACATTGACAGCGGACTCCGCTGCAAGCTCGCAATTAGAGGCGGAGGCGCGGCTTCAGGACCTCAATTGTGGGGGATCGCTGCAGTTTCCCTCTGAACCGGATGCCATCCGCAAAAAATTGAAGTTTCTGGACGTGGAGGGGGACCGCCTTCGTCAGTTGTCATTTGCAAGAAATCGTTTCACGGCACCCACTGAGAGGGAACCCATCAGTGATGCAGCTCTTCGCGACACCTACGATAGTCCTGCTTTGCATCGCGCAAATGATCGCGTGGGTATTTCGCCGCACTTCAATCCCACTATTTAGAAAAAATCCAGGGACGGGGAGCTGATTTGAGGGACGCGCAAGGAGCAGAGGAACACATATGTATACATACACAGACACACAGACGGAGTGGTGAGAGTCCCTTTTCCTTCACACCTTATTTCAATTACCTTCTTTTCCCTTTTTTATCTTATTTTAGTGAGCGTCTGTTTCTGGGTTTATGCATTGGTGTTTGACTTCCTCTTTTTTTGTTTCATACTGGCCTGTACTCGGCTCTCGCTTCTGCACCTTTTTGGCTTATTTATGCGGCTGTGCAACCGTCCGAACTTTTTCCGTTTTTTTTTTGCTCGCGGGGAATCCCCAAGGAAGGCGTGGGGCGAGGAAAAAGGGGGGTAGAGAGGGACAACGAAAAACGAGGGGTGGAAGGGCGGGGGAAATTGTCACGTTTTCATTTTTTTTTTATATATTTTTCTGACGGCGTTTTAATAATTATTTGTTTTCGCAGCCTTTTGTTATTTTTATTTCTGCTGAAGAAGGCACCGTCAAGGTCTTTATTTCTGTTGGTTTTATGCATCATGGACCGTTTCCTGTCGTGGCAACACACGGGCACGAAACGATGAATGATTGGAGGGGCCTTGCCCTGCTCTTTACACCGACACGATATAAATATATAAATATATTTCTGTGCGTTTTCCTTCACTGGGCGTGTGTCTGTGTGTGTCTGTGTGTGGTCACTGGGGCCGCCTTTGGAGATTTCTTCCGCACTTTTGTGGGCGCGGTGGTGGGAAGGGAGGGGCTGCCGCGGGGAGCGGAGGAGGCGGAAGAGAAATTCAGCGATAAGCGCAAAAGAGAAGAAGAAAAGCAAAAACACAAAACAAACAAACAAACAAAAAGCAAAAAGGAGAAAAACAATTTGTTAGTCAAGAGACCTACAGGAGGGGGCGTCACACATGAAGTTGTACTCCCTGTCGATTGTGAGGCCCTTCCCTGCGGGCGTGGAGAAGGAGCCTGTCATCTGCTCTCAGGCCATTGACGTCAGCTCGTTTGGGTTCTTTCAGCGCAACTCTGCCCGGGAGTTCATTGTGTTTCTCACCCGCACGGTGGCGAGGCGGGTGTCGAAGGGCTCCAAGATCCAAATTACTGAAAACGGCAACGTTGTCTTTGCACATGCAACGCTGGACGGAATTGTCGCCATCGCCATTAGTGACATCGAGTACAACTCCCGTGTCGCCTTCACGCTGCTCGGGGAACTCGCCCAGCAGTTTCAGACGACCTTCCACGGAAAATACGACATTGTCGATGGCAAAGACGACAACTTTCTGAACTGGCCGTACCTTGAGGAGATGCTGCTGAAGTACCAAAAGCCGGAGGAACAGGACAAAATCCTCAAGATCAAACGGGACATAGAGGACACCAAGGTGATTATGTACAATGCCATTGACCAAATTATTGAGCGCGGCCAGAAGATCGACGAGCTTGTCTCCAAGAGCGAGGATCTTGGGATGGCAAGCAAGACATTCTACAAACAAGCAAGGAAGACAAATTCGGCGTGCTGTACATTCATGTGAGATGGTACTCTACTGCTCATTGGGGTCATGTGCGTTGGTGGTGGTAACTTTTTGAGTCGCACACTGCCTGGGCAATTTTATGATGTCAAACTTCCTTTTTTTCTGCACGGATGTGAGGAAAACAGCAGCGAGAGTGTTAAGAAGGAACAGTAGGAAAAATTGTTCGTTCCTTCTCAAAAAAGGGAAGAAAAAGAGGAAGGGAAAAACTGTAAACTGGGAAGAAGGTGGAGAAAAAAAAAAGGGGATGACAAAAATGTGGATGCGTCGATGTGTGCGAGTAACTGACATGTGCCGTCTACGGCCGTGTTTTTTCCAGTGCGAATTTCACTTTTAAGCTTGCAGGGGAGGGGCGCTTTTTTTTTCGATTTTTTTTTTTTTTTTTGTGTGCTTTAGTTTTAGTGCGTTCCTTTTTTTTTTTGTTTCTGAGTGTGTGTTTGTGCTCTGTTTCTGGAAGGTACGCTGCTGCTTCTTTGACCGATGCTAAGAAGGCTGAACACTTCGGAGGCATGCAGTCCTTGCCAACTTTAGATACGGTGCCTCTTTCTTTTTCACCACCTTTTCGTTCTGCATTTTTTTGGCCCCTTTGCCGTGGGCGTTCCTTTCTGGCCGAAAAGGACTGCTAATGGTGAAGGGCAGGGGGGCGCACTCAAGAAGAAGGCGCACCGCTCTTTTGCTGACAGCTGCTGCTGCTGCTGTGACAGTTCTCCTTTACCTGTCGTGGAGGAATGTGGAGGAGGCAGGGGACGAGGCGAGATCAATGGTTCGCCCCTCGCCGTTTCTGATCACTGCGTCTCAGGCACGTGGTAACACACTCTATCAGCTTCTGTTGCCGGAGGAAATTGGAGGTATTCTACCGGGAAACATAACAGCCTTCATTTCTCCGAGAGGAACACACAAGGGACAAGAGGTGCCACACTTTGACTACGGCGATGGGCCCAGGCGCTACCGTAATCCATACCATCCCATGCGTCGTACCTTGCGTCCCTGCCATGGTCTTCTCTACACGAAAGGCAACTGGCTGTACAACAGCAGTCTTGGGCCCCCGATACGCTTCTCGTGGGAATATGTTGGGATGTTGTGAGCGGGGTTTCCGAAAGGAGTCTAAGACCAATCGGATTCGTAAAGAGACGCAATACGAGTGGGTGCCCGACGAATGCGAGTTGATTCCATGGGACGAGGAACTCTTCTGTCGCTCGCTTCGTGGTCGTAGCATCATGATGGTTGGTGACAGCCTCACGGATAACTGGCATGCCTCCCTTTATTATCTTCTCGGTGGTGTGGGTGATATCTACGAGCGAGAAGGCACCTCACGCTTCCTCCATCGGTGCAGGGGACATAACATCTGCCAGAAGAACTACTCAGACCGTGTAAAGGATCCCGTCAAAATCTTTTTTCTCACCAATCAATTTCTTGAAACGGGTTAGCACATCCATCTGAATTTTTTGTGGTGGAAGGACATTCATCGCTACCCCATTCTTATCCTAGACTCCGGAGCTTGGATGGCGCAGCCGTCGAACGAGCGCTGAAAGGTTTCAGATGAACAGTATTACCGTTTGATGCGAAGGACCGCCAGCGTTGTTCGGTGCATTCACAAGGGCGCTGTTATTTGGCGGAAAACCTTTCGTGGGCATCATTTTTGTTGGCGTTATTCCGAGCCACTGAAGACATTGTTATCATTGGATGAATACAAGGCAGAAAAATACGAAAGGTATCGCTGTTTTGCTATTCCCGACAGGAACGCATACACGAAGGCTCTCTGGGAAGACATGGGGGCACATATTTTGGACGTGGCCCCCATGACAGACCTCATGCCGCTAGGGCAAATGGTGAAGTGCCACCCAAAGAATGAGGTGATGAACGCAACAGACTGCCTGCATTACTGCTCTCCCGGGGCAATTTACGATCGATGGAGCATTTTACTAATGAACCTCCTTACAGGAAACATTGCAGTTTAATCACTGGATATTTTTTGTTTGCTGCATTTTTTTTTTTTTTTTCCGTGGCGTCTGTGTGCGATCTTTTCTCAGTATCGCCGCTTTCTTATATTTCTGACCAGAAGAGAGTTTTGCATCTATTTTTTTTTTGGTATATTGTATTCTTGGGACTTCATGCTTTGGCCTGCATTCTTTTTTTTTTTTTTTTTTTGCATTGTTTGTATTTGTGTAATGTCTCGAATGTGTGACAGGTATCGAAGTATTGAGGCCTTTTTGCGGCAATATCGGTTTTATCTCCATTACGCATTGTTTTTGTTACCATTTTAAAGGAGGCCATTACCTCCTTTTTGCTCTTGCGTTTTTTTATTTATGTATTCATGCATGCCTGCGTGCGGCTTTATAAACTTCTTCTTTTTATTGCCCCTTTACATATTCTTATGGGGAGCTGGCGTGGTTTTGTTGGCATTATCTCGACACCTTCAATCCGGCAGGGCTTGTTCCAGTGGCGGCAAAATTAACGGGAGGAATAGAAGAGGAGAAGCGGATATTGTGAAGTCCACATCAAAACGACAAGTCCGTGCATCTTCCGGGGCAGCAAGCGCAGCAGCCAGAAGACCGTGGATGCAATGTCGACAAACATGTCTCCAAATATAAAAAAAGGTGGCGTTACCGCCGCAGACCTCATGCAGCTGCAGGAGGCCGCCCTTCGTCTTCGCTCCCAGTGCACCCAGAGGGAGGCGGACAACCGAAGGCTAACGCAAAAGCTGCGCGAGTATGAAGAGCAGCTGTTTTTTCTGCGTGCAAATGAGCTTATTCTTCGAAAACAGGTTTCAGTGTGGTCTAGCTATCACCGTCTTTTTGCGCAGCCACTCTATGAGGCGCGTCTTGCGGTGGAGAGGTACAAGCACGAGGCGCATCAGTCCTTGGTCCACGAGATGCAGGTTGATCGGCAGCGAAGGGACTCGATTGCCAATGCAGCGAATGAAAAGAGGGAGCGGGAGAGGGCCGGCCTACAGGCGCGTCTGCGGCGGCTCCAGGAGTTGCAAGATGAAAAGCGAAAGAAGCATGAAGAGCTGGAACTTCGACTGAGGCGTGTTTCCGAAGAGTCTCTGCGGGCCCAAAAGCAGGCGTCAAAACTGAAGGATGAGTTGGCGTATTGCATGGATCGACTGGAGGAGAGCGAAAGAGAACGCGAACGCGTCAAACGGCATCTTTCTGAGCACGAGGCGGCTCTACTAAAGGCACGACATAATGTGGCTGGCATGGGACACTTTGAGGAGGAGATCCGCTCGAGGGATACCGTCATTGCGCAACTCCAGCGAACAGTGCGGGAGTTGAACACAATCATGGCACAGCAATCGGCATCGCGGTTAGAAAAGGCAGATGGCGAAAATACCCCGCCGCAACACGAGGCAGAGGAAAAGAAGTTGGCCGCCAGTCCACAGAGATTACTGAACGACTCGTGTGATTCTGAATGGGTGCTAAAGCAGAGCATTGGGTGGTTTCGCAGTAAAATGGAGCGTGAGATGAAACCTTCTACTCCCCGCCGTCAAATGTTTGCGCCCCGCAGTTCTTCCGCCAACCCTGCACCATTGTTGTCGTCTTCCTCATGGATGGAGGGGCGGTGCGATAGCGGAGATGTTGATCTGCAGGAGTTTCTATCGCGGGAGTTACAGGCTCCTTTGCTGTAACGTCTTTTTTTTTTTTTTTACACCACACATTTGGATTTGTTCACATCCTTTTGGCTGCTGGCCAGTGACACGGCATTGTGCAGAGAATTCACTTTTCATGCTTCTCTTCTTTACTTCTTTCTTTCTGCTTCTTTGTGCAATTTTATTTTGGAACAGTAAGCGTTCCATTGAGATTAGGGCTTCTCAATTAGCGTTTTTGAAGTGTGTGTGCAGTGAGAGCAAATCCTGCTTGCTGACACAGCAGGATACCGCGGCTCTCAGGAATGCCAAACCCCCTAGTTTCTGATAGCTCAAATACTTCTTCTTACTCCGTCAATATGGACGCAAATGCCATGAGGTCATCTTTTTATAACCCCCTGAAAACCCTGATAGAGCAGACCATACTTTCGTTTGGCTACACGTCCCTAAAAGAACTTGCCGAAATTCCAATACAGGACAAAATGTCAAAATCCCCAACATTGGGGGGGAATTCGAGGAGTGGGGCATGTTGTCAAAAGTGCAAAATATACGAAAGGCTTCTTAAAAAACTAGCTACTCTGCTTCTTGTGGAACTGGATGAAGACGGGGGAACATCAACGAATGGTGCGTGGCCAGGTCTTCTGTCGCTTGAGAAGCCGCAAGGCATGGGCATTTCGGGACTGGTGGCCGGCAATCAATCCCTCTCGGGCAGTCGAGGCAGTGGAGCGAGTCCCAAACATGACGGCGCCACAATTCCCATGTTGTCTTTGTTAACAAGTCCGTTTGATTCCTTTTCCAGTGTCACATTGATGTCGACTACGCCCTTGACGGCTCCATCCTGCAGTGCTCGTGGGAGCGTGGGCAATTGGCTGAAAGGATTTGTGGCCTTTGCGGCGCCAGGAAAAAAAAGCGAAAGTAATTCCTTTTCCGACGGAGACGATTATACGAGGACCTCCAACAGTCTCACCCCCGCCATGCTAGTATCAAATAGAGACACAGCGAAAGCGGATTTAATGCAACGCGGCAAAAATGTCAAATTGGCACGACAGGCCGCCGTACATGTTGCACATGGGACATCCTATTCCATTGCCAGAGCCCGAGGTTGGGATGCAAATCCGCGCGTTAAGGAGACTTCGAGGACGATAATAGCTCGCAAGAACCAAAAGAAGATGATAAACGAATATGTTTTGCTGAGGAAAATTGGCCAGGGATCGACGGGTTATGTCGTTTTGGTTCAGGAATGCGAGTCAAAGGAACTGTTCGCGATGAAAATTGTGCGGCTGGGAAACAAAATTGATTGGCGGCGCGTGAATGCCATTCGTTCTGAGATTACAGTACTGAAGGCGGTGGCCCATCCCAATCTTGTTCGGCTCCACGAAGTCATTGGTGACAAGAGTCACAACACGATTTTTTTGATACTGCAGTATATTTCGGGTGGTAGCATCGCTAAAACCTTGTCTTCGGTCACAATTGTGACCATTCCAGAGGCAAAACTACGTTGCTACACGGTGCAGATTCTTTCAGCTTTAAGTCACTTGCATTCCAACGGAATATTCCACCGGGACATCAAACCAGAAAATATTTTGATCGATAAGGAAGAAAGAATATATCTTGCTGACTTTGGTGTGAGTGCTATAAGCACTGCTAATGGCGTTCACGGCATGGAGGGAACACCAGCGTTCATGGCTCCCGAGGTGTTTACAGGTAATTTTGAATTGATCGGAGAACTTGTAGATGTATGGGCACTCGGTGTCACACTTTACCAGCTTATGTATGGCTTTCTGCCATTTCAGGCACTCACGTACTTTGAGATGGTACGCAGAATAGTTAATGATCCGGTTACTTTTCCTGACAAAGTGCAAGGAGATGAGTCAGAGAGAGCTGATCTCGGTGATTTTTCATACTTGGATGAGATAGAGGGTTTCATGAACACCGATACATATTTAGGCTTTCATTATGATGGTGAGGATGATGAAGATGAGCCGGAGAAGGAAAAATACCATAATGACCGTGACGAGGTGACTCCATCTGCAGTTCATTCCTCACCAGAATTCAAGGAGTTGATTCAGGGCGTCCTTTGCAAGGATCCCCACTCCCGCTGGAATCTGCGACGCATTTGGGAATCCGCGTGGCTTCGGGACGCACTCGAGAGCGGCAGGCGAATTACGATGACAGGCTCCCCCACACCCAGCTATGGTGAAGTTTGCTTCCCCAGAGCCCTGTCACCATCTGCAATGACGCGGCCGGCGGTAGAAAATAACTCAACAAATGCGTCAATAACCAAACTTAATCCGAATGTTGCCGTAAAATTTTATGCTATTTCGAATCAAACACACAACTCCCCCACCAATAAAATTAACAACAAAATTAACACGGAAAATACCCCCATCAACAAAACTCCCACCCCCATTTTAAAAAGCAACAGCAAAGTCCGCGTTAATATTGACACTGCAAAGGAATCATTTTCTGGCCGCCACTTGAAAGCCGATGAGGAATGTGTACATCCTCGGGCGAGCTTGTGGAAAAGGATTCTTTCGGGCACATGGCGTAGAAAGAAGAAAGTTTTGCCAGAAGGGCAGTCATGATAGTAAAAAGAAGGGGATTCTTTATTGTTTGCAGGTTTGGGGCTTTAATTCCTTCCCCTATTTATTTATTTATGACATATATATATATATATATATTTTAAATAATAATGGTAGCTTCCGCGGTGATTAATGCGAAAAATTATTGCAGTTGTGTTGTATATATATATACAAGTGCATAGGAGGGCCTTTGATGGGGGAGGATCCACAGCGTATTCGGTCTGAGATCCATTGGTGCCTTTTTTTTTGTTTATTTTTATTTTATTTTTTGTGTTATGACACTTATTGGCGTTTTTTATTTGCTCTCTTTTTTTCTTTATTTATTTATTTTATGTTTTATGTTTTTTACTTCTTGTGCACCTCTCCTTTTCTTTTATAACTGATTCTGGCCTGTGTTTGCTCATCTGTTGTCTCTCTTTTTGCGGACAGAATCGGTGTGTCTTGACGATGCAGGGGAGCGGGTGGTAGGAATGAACGGAAACATGATCTCCCTTCCCCTGGCAACGAGAGAAGAAATGTTATGTGGTGGTGGGGGTGGGGGGGTAAAACCACGCCCTCGAGCTTTTTTTTTTTGTTTATAGGAGCTTGTGAAGAGAGTGTTCACTGGGCAATCCGGCTATCCGATTTAATATGTATATATGTATCCTGATGAAGAGAACTCTGTAAGACCATTTTTTCCTACTTTATTATTTTTTTGTTTAACCGCGATTCTAGGAACCAGGGAACCAATGGCGTCTAGACGATTTCTAATTATTTTCATTTTCATTTTTGCAGCCAAACCTGATTCCTGCAAGCTCATATAAGGGAATGGCGACGGTTCCTTTTTCACGGCAACGGAATGGAGCCTTATCGGTAATCGCATGGCGGATCCGGGACGTCAGCGTGGCGATATACAGGTACAAGTTGCCTAAATGGATGAAAACGGACAGTCGGAATCAATGATGACTGTCAGTGCTACCATAAATGGCTTGCGATTGATTTCAGGAAACATTGCCAAACACCGGGAGGATTCAACCCTTACGGGGCACATGGCGGATCTCCGGGCGCCCCAAGCACCAAATTTTGCGTCTCAATTCCTCCTGCCCATAATTTGAGGGCAGCCCGAGAGTTGGGGGCGCGGCAAGGGCTGACCATCGCGGAAGGGCGGAGATCAAAGCCGCAATAAGCCGCCGCTGACGTGCAGAATCGAAGCGCGCAGCTTCAACATCAGATGGAGGAAGCGAATAACCACTTTTCGGCATGTGCGTCCAACACTGCGGTGTTTGGCGGTCTGCTCGCGGAATGCAGGGGTGCCGTGCCGGCGAGAGGCGCCCACATTTCGGAGAGAGCCGCAGGACGGAGCGCATGCATTTGTTGTTGGCGCCGGATGGACTCTCTGGTTCGACTTGCCTCTGACAGCTTGGTTTTGTGGACGCGCGCGCTGGGGATGGATCGGGATCCCACCGCTGGTTTCATTGCTATTGGCGGGGCGCCAATGCAGGGCTTCCGGTTGCGGATCGTGATGACTACTGAGCCCAGCGTCCCGCTCTCCGCGCTGCGCATCTGCACTCGGACGCAAAAACGACGATTGTCGCAATGTCAGCTGTGTTGCATTTGTGGGAACGACGTGCCTACATGCAAACTCCGAGGCGAGGCCGGTCGTCAAGAAACGGCGAAGGCGGACGACGGCGGCCGCACACATTCCGCCGACGCTCCATCCGATCTTTCAAATCGCCCGACGCAATCGTCGAGAAGGGCAATGGAGCTTATGCGCCAACGACGCTCGACTGTGGTACGACGAATTACCGACATCCCCGCTTTGGACAAGCTACATGAGGAAAGCGAACGAGGTCGCTCGAGAGATGTGGGCGCCGTCAACGTGGGAGCAGAGAATGTCCCTCGCGGGGCAATTTACAACTTTTTGCCGCACGCACGATGAACGAGGAGAGCTGCGCAGTCTTTTTGGCGGCAATATTAGATGCGGCGCCATTGACCCGACTGCAGTACGCCAGGATGCTGCGGTCCATGTTGGAAATGAATCGAACCCCGCTGGACATGGTGATTCTGGGGTTACAAAGATTGCGGCGCGATCAGAGACGAGGCAAACGCGCCCCGTGACAGAGGAAGAGATGAATCAAGTAATCCGCAGCCGGACCGACTGGAAGGAACGTGTTGTCTTACGACTTGCGTGGATAACGGCGAGTCGTTGGTCCGAGATTGCGGCCTTAACTCCCAACAATTTCACACTGAAGCCGGACGGGGCCTTAATTTTGGACTGGTCCGTCGCGCCGAAGACGGCGAGAGCGGATCCCCACCGCGCCTCGCGGTTTGTGAGGATACGGGGGCAGGACGCCTTCAACACAACGAAAAGCTTACGAATATTACGACTACCAAAGTCGAACGAGCTCTGGCTCCTTGGGATGCATCGGCTCATTCCATAAAACGGGGTGCGTTGCGGCACGCTGCTCAAATCGTGGAGACATACAATTTGGACCCACACTTGATCTCGCAGTTGGCGAAGCACGTCAATCCGTTTGACCTTCCCCAGAATACTGTTTGTTATTTGGGGAAGTACACCACAATGCTGACCCAGGTGTTGCCGCTGGCCGCATTGATGTGAAGGGAGAAACTGCGGAAGGGCAGGAACCCTGGCTGAGAGCGGAGGAGCGTTTTTTCCATGATTTTTAATCACAATCATGCTGCTACAATAACGCGACGCGCGACAAGGACGCGTCCGGCCACTCCACAAGATGAACACGCTATCCCGTTACAGCAGCGAGTCAACGTGCCCGTATTGAACTTAGAGTGGATTAAAAGTCGGTTGAGCCCGGCTACCTTGGAGAGGCTCATGCAAGTGTGGGGACTCGTCGGGCGGTCCCCTCTCCCTCCGTCTTCCTCCGGTAAAGCGCGCAAAGGCTCACGGAGGATTCCAACCGCTGACGCGAGATTGTTACGAACAGCAGGAATAATCGAGGACGCTTCGTCCACAATAACAGGCGGATGGATAATACCTTTCTCAGTTGTGGAGGGGAAAACCACCGGTTTACGACGACGATGGATCGCGTGGCCACGCGACAAGAACAGAGACGACCCTTACGAGGCTCATGTTCCTCTTTTACATATTTCCCATTATTTGTCACCTGTGATGGCTGAGGCCGTTTCCTGCCTGGACTTAAAGGCGTCCTTTTTTCAAGTCTCTTTACCGCGGGAGACGCGGCATGTCTTTTGATTCCGCGTGGAGGACGGCACGCTGGTGGAGCTGACACGGCTCCCTATGGGATACAAGGCCGGCCCAGGAAATTTCCAGATCATTACTTCGGCAATTGCGGTGGTGACGACGGTGGTTCACCGCCTCTGGGCTGCACCTCCATTGGTGCGTATCGACGTATGGGTCGGTAATATACGCATTGCAGGGTCGAAAAGCGATGTGACATTGTGGGAGGCCCTAGTGCTTCGGAATGCGGACAGTTGTCACGCATCCTTGGGGGAGGAACGCGAATCGGGCGCTACGCAGTACACCTTCTGTAGGTGCAATTTGATCACTCACCAGACGGTGTCACTGAGTGAGAAGTTTGTCCGCTCTGTGCGCGCCATGCCGACGCTCAATTCTTTAACAATCTTGGAAATGGAGTTTATGGCGTCATATTTTTTGTACGCGGCGGCCATTTTGTGCACGCGTTTATGCGACTACTACCTTTTCCATCAAGGCAGTGCGACGACGATTATCCGCACTTGACCGGGGGATTGTGCAGGAGACATCCCCGGCGAACCTTCCGCCGGCAGCGGTTGGTTTGGGCGAGAGATTGCGACACACCATCGAGAATAATAATAGGCGAATCATCGAGCCCACGGAAAAGGCATCGGCCGCCATCATCACGGACGCATCGATCCATGGATGGGGAGCCGTTTTCGTCCCAGACTCCGGCGACGTTAAAATTGCCGGAGGAAAGTGGGAGAGGAAGTCTTTTCTTATCATGCAGGCCGAGGCGCGCGCGGTCCGCTTAGCCTTATCGGCCTTTTCCGCCATCTTGCCATCCACCATGGACGTTTGGGCGGACAACACTTCGCTGCAAGGAGCGGCGAATAAAGGCAGCTCAAAATCACACGCCAAGACGTGGGAGCTGCAACGGATACAAGGGCTTTTGGACTCTCGCGGAATACAGGCATCCTTTGTCCACGTGCGGTCAGCGTAAAACCCCGCAGACGGAATATCACGCGGTCGTGTTTTTACACTTCAGGACTTGCGAAGGGGAGCGGCGGGGTCTTGTGGTTGGAGGACCCCAAAGTCTGCCACTTCGTAAGTAATATTATTCTGAGGAAAAAGGACCATGCTGGTGGTCCACAGAATTTATATATTGAATGAAAATAAAACATTGAAACAATTAACTAACTCTGCGAAAATCCTTTCTTCTCCAACCTTGTTTGGTTTCTATAGAGATAATTTTAGGATTCGGCCAGCGGCGCAGAAGTTTATTCGCTTTGGTTTACTAATTTCCTTTTTTTTTTTTTTTCTTGACGGCTGCGTTAGTTCAGAGTGAATTTAACCAGAAGGAATTAAAAATCAAAAATGAGGAGTTGTACCGCCATACGTTTCGGTTACAAGAGTGAATTAGGTGCCATATGCACCGCATTTGCTGCAGCTGTGAGCTTTTTTGTGTTGCCACGTTCCTTTCTTACAGTGGCGGTACCAGCGTGGCTGGTTGTGCAGCGGCTCGTGGCTCGCGGTTCACGAAACGGCGCGCGGCCGCCGCACGAAGGGGCAACCCACAATGGTGGCAAGGAAGGGAAGAAGGACGTGTCGCCGAAAGAGTGTCAACTCGCATTTGTCATTTCCCGCAATAGAAGAAGAGGAGAGACCAGTGGCAATAGTCACGGG